TGAGTTACCAGAGGTATCAGTTTAACCTGAAGTAATCAATATCCCAAACAAATCAGGAAATACCTTGCTATAATTTACGCCAGCGAGATACAATGTACATACATATTTCGAGGGGGAATATGCATACAGGGTGGGCCATCGAAAACTTGACATGGAGGTTTTGGATACTAATCTTGCAAATCCCAAAAAACGCTCAGACAAGTCGATTTTTATTGGGAGGGAAACAGTTTTTTCCCCATTTACAGCGTCGTCACTTCAACCTGGGAGCAGAGGGGTGAACAACCATTGGAAATTTAATAGGGAACTGGGGGCGAGTCGCACATCGTTTGAAAGATCTTGGAATTCTCTAAATAACTAACTTTATTCTCATGTTAGCATATGCTCAAAATTGGCACCTCCAGCTTCCATGGAATAATACAGATTCTGCTGGAAAGGTTTGTGATTCGTTGCCGTAAATCTTCGAGTGATGCAGGAGGAGTACACTAAATTCTGCTTTTCAAATGAGATCTTGAAGATTATCAATCATTGATTGAAACACGTTTCGAGGTGTTAAAAATAACGTTTTGGTTTGGGATTAAACTCCAGTAATATATATTAATTTTAGTCGTAACAAAATCATTTCTAAGCGAATATTAACAGTTAACAGCATTAATAACTTTGAAATTTTCATGACTTTACACGTGGTTTTCGGTTGGCAGTCAGTGGAAGAACCGTGAAATGACACAATTACAAACGTCAGAAGCAGCAAAACAAATGACTCCAATTAGCTGACCGTTCATCCACCTTAATTCGGCTCTCCCTCGGGAAAGCACGCAAGATGTTGAGCGGTAACATAATCCAGTGGATTCGATTCTTAGACCCCAGGATTCTTGGAAACAATTGGATGTTCGGTAATGGCTTTTTCATGAGGTGTTCAATCTCCGTTATTTCGTCTACTAGTTTTATAGCTGGTGGGCCATTCACAACATTCCCATCAGACTGCAAAAAGTATTCTCTTGTAACGTCAGTACTCTAGAAATACCTCAAAATGTATTTACATTCTATGAGTTCAAAAATATAAGTCTGAGTATTTATTTCACGAAAATGAATCACAAGTCAAATTCTATAGGCCATTTAAAGTTTAAAATGTTTTTGTTTGAACTAATTTTCAATAAATTTGACATCAATATGTATGTAAATTGACTACTTTAGTTTTCAGCTTGTTATGGTTCCAACTAGGAACTTCAATGTCAAAAGGTTCATTAATGACATAAATAATTATAGACTTTCCAACTTAGTGAATGTGATAGAAACGCGAAATGTTATTTCGAAGTAAACTTCAATTGCAAATGACGTAAAAACTATGAAATATTGAATGTGAAAACATATTTTGCTGAATGTCCATTATAAATCACTCATTTTATGAAGTTTTTTTCCTTATAAGAGGAATTGGGCAAATTTGGGATATGTGGTTGGTTACCTCGTTGTCGGGCAGATGGGGCGATGACAAACATGTTGTTTGTTGCCTAGTTCGAAGAATGATGCTCTGAAAGAAGGAATTCAATTCTCAATTATCGGAAAGAATTGATTATATGTTGATGCACTACCTTGCACTGACTAGTGGTCAAAGAGCCCGAAACCGGTCTGTAAGTGTGTTCCAATAATTGAAAATCGATTCCGTCAGTTGTATTGCCAACAGCGTTTGCATGTAATTGTGATTCACCTATCACTGGTTCAATGCATATACACCGAATTGATTATTATCTGTAAATATAATTTTGGTTTATATTTATATATTGAAGAGGACATGGTGTATCAATAAAATGGCGATTCTCCTCATTACTGACAAAATGTACCTATGTGATTATTTAAATGACAGTTTTCGAGATTGGTGGATCGGACGGATGGGTGCAATTAAATAGACTCCTTGGTAACCCGAATTGAGCCTTTTAGATTTTTTCTTGAGATTCTCAAAAACCAAGTGTATCGCTCTTCGCCTGACTCATTGGAAGGCCTTCTGCGAGGACGAATCATTGATGTATGTTGCAAAACAGCATTGCGAGTGCTCCAAAATGTACAACGGTTTCTATTATTTTATAGAAGTTTCACAGTACAGTTTCAGCATTTACTTGATTAACAGGATGAGTTTTAGAGTAAAATCCATGCTGACAAGCTTCTCAGTAACGTTGAAGAATTGAAGGTTCAGATGGGGTTCTTAGGTCAAAATATACCCTCATACAACCTGTCGTCCCACCGTAGACTGACTCGTATTTGGTAAACCTACTCTTATAATTCCAATACCTAACACGAGGCTTCTTTGGCGATTGTCAAACCTTATCTTGAAAGTTATTCATTACAGCACTTCTACTGATACCTTGTCAGTTGAAAAAATCCCAAATAGCAGTGAGTGTTTCACAACCCCAATCTGGGTGCTTATGTTTTCGATCACAATCAGTTTTTTACCGGCTTCTTTCCCTGGCCAGATTTGGTCGTTACTAATATCCTCCCTCGTTCGAACCGGCATTGTGGGGTGTCGTTATGACAACAAGGATTATTTTTGCTCGCTAATGGGAAAGTAAGACTACTCGTTCCTTAGGGATGCGGAAACTGAAATAAATGGACACCTTCGGTTGAATAAGCCGTTTATTTATAAGACAAATGGAACCGTAATACTAAGAGTGTAGATGTAGATGTTATCATAGCCGTAATAAGAGTTTGAGAAGTTTCGGGTGGAGGGTGTGTATACGCATTGGTTGAAAATCTATGATAGCGAATTATGGACATAATTAAATTTTCACAAGAAGGTGAACCCAGGGCATTAAAAATCCCTGCGGCATGAAGAAGTTTATTTCTTTCCATGACAGACACAAATATGCAGAATGTTTCCAATCGAATCTCGACATTGCCATTTGCCATACAACATGAAAAACAATTTAGTATTTTCTGGCATCAATTCACCGACAAAACATATTTCTATAAAACTTTTGAATACATTTTACGTAATTAATTAACTCATAGATAAATAGAAACTCAAAAAATATTGAAACATTGGAAAGAAATATTTTGGGAGACGTCATTTTTTGGAAAAACTTTTTGGCTTTTTACTCGTTCATCATTATTGTTCTGTCAAAATACTTGTTTTCCATTTTTAATAAACCGACAACTTGTTTCGTGACCAATATTAAAGCCATCTTCAGATTGGACTTGTGAGCAGTGATTTTTCAATTAATTTCTTGATATTCTAATAACTTACTGTTATTTATTCATTTCTTCATTCATACATCAAACAGGCTGTGGCCAATAAAAGAAGTAATACATTGATAGACCAGTTAACTATTTCTAGAGAAATAGAAGTATCAGTGAACATTTTGATATTCAGTTAGGATCTAATCTATACAAATTATTTGTGAATCAATTCAGGGTAGAAATAAATAAATCCATAGAGTATTCACTGACACTTCGGCACATACAGGTTACTGGACTGTAGGAATGGTGCTAAGAATTGGGTACATTAATGCGGAACGTGATATTTGATCTGGACGTATATAGAGGGACATTAAAATCAATTTAGGACAATAAAGTTGGTGAGTACATGGTACTATTGATCACTTTATACATGAAAATAAAATCTGCAATTTCTCGTTTCCTGATGTCCCAAAATTACATTCATTCATAAGACAAATGTGTTCATAATTTCTAACCAGATAGTTTTCATGTTCCTTATAATATGCAAACTTGAATTTCTTCTGAATCCCTTCCAAAGCATCAATGTATTTTGTTCGATTAGGATTCCTGATAGAAATACAATACTCTAGTTTACCACACACCAAACTATAGTAAACCAACCAAATACATTCAAATAATCTGAAGCATAAGTCAGAATTTTACATTTCCTCATATTGAGATATGAGTTTGTTCTCATTGCACCACTTTTGGAGCAACATACAATCAAATGAAATTTCTTTGAAAAACTCCAAATCATCAGTGAAAATCAGCTCTGTTGATTATATCGATGCGCATATGTCATCTATAAAACGTTAAGATAAGAGCGGCACCAAATTAGATCCTTGGGGAACCCTCGACTATGCGCAAAATATATGTAAACAAGTTCTGCTCGTTAATTTGTTACCTTATATTGGACCAGTATGATAATGCTTGAGAAAGCTATTGTATAGTCGAACACATGTTGCAATGACATGTTCATAGTGGCTTACCGAACAAATAAACTGTCCAGTAAAAACTCACAATGAAATGTTGAATCTAAAATTCTTTTTTTTGAGATTTGGTATCCTCGTTCTATCGACTTATGAGTAATATCTCATTTGAATTGAGGCTCTTCTGTTTCATGTATATAAGGGCACACTTCATACTTCTCGAATCACGGTTTCAAAGTAAGCAATATTCTTTCTCTATCTATGACATATTTCGATTTCCAAAATAATGAAAATCGATGGTAATATTTCCCATACAAAAAAAATCATATAATCGATAAACTTCACAGCATTGCCGATTGTGTACATTGTTGATTCAAATAGGATTAATTTTTGAACGAAAGTCAGTTTTTGTGGAGGAAAATCAATTTTTCATTGACAATCTGTGGATATTTTCACCTTTCATAATCTGAAAAAAATATAATTGTAATGGAGAACTTCATTCAAGTGTAGAAAGTGTTAATTTTTTATTTCACCCAGAAAAGTTTCCGTCTTACTATTTTTCACGTAGAAATATGTTTCATTTATCAATAACTTTACGTATTCAATAATTTTGCCTACCAAAAAGAAGGACTGAGAAATTAAATAATACTCATCTTAAGGTGCCTAAGTGTCGCGGGAGTCATGATAACGACCCCAACTGCAGCACTTGAGGTCCTACTCGAACTTCCACCATTGCATATCAACATACAAAGAGATGCTCGACTTGTGACACACAGGCTGATGCAGGGGCAAACCCCAATCAGCCAGTCACACGGTGTAAAATACTTCAAACTGTACAATGAACTAAAGGCAGATCCAATACTAGGAATGCCCGTGGATAACACAATTCCGCAGTACAACTTGCAAAAAGATTTCAAAATCATCATACCAAGTAGAGAGGACTGGCAAAACAGTCCATCGGTGAAAGCAGTAGAAACTTGGTATACAGATAGCTCAAAGACCCGAAAAGGAGTGGGAGCCGGTATACACGGAGGCAGAGCAAAGACGAGAATCGCAGTAAGCCTCGGACGTAATGCAAATGTGTTCCAGGTAGAAGTAACGGCCATCGAACACAGTATAGGGAAATTGAACAGACAGAAGGTCACAAATAAAACCACCGGCTTTTTCTCAGACAGCCCGGTGGCAATTAAGGCGCTCAGCTCTTTTCAAGTCTTTTCAAAACTGGTAGAAAGCTGTTTGAGTGCACTCAAGGAGCTAAGTAACCAAAATAGGGTCACTCTAGTTTGAGTACCCGGACATGAGGGTCACAAGGACAATGAGGAGGCCGATGTTCTAACCCGTGATGGCGCGTCCAAAGCTATAATCGGCCCAGAACCCTTCCACGGGAAAGCATCTTCAAAGACATCCATACATTCATGGATGTAAGCCAAGTTGATAAATTGGTGAAATAAGCTCCCAGGAATGAGGCAGGCAAAATAGTTCGTAAAGAAACCACCGCCCAGATTCACGGAAAACCTGCTAAACCACAACCGTAAGGTTGTAAGGGTAGTGGTGGGTCCACTAACGGGGCATAGCCAACTCAGGAAACATATTAGCAACATGGGTCTGACAGAAAAAACCCAATGCAAGTTTTGTCAGGAAACCGCACTGCTTGTGCTCTGTGAATGTGAAACGATAGCAAGGCTGAGACACGCGAGACGCTGGGAAGAGAAACTAGAGGCTGACAGCTATATGAAGGGATAGTGTCAAGGCTATGAAGTCTCATCAAAGAAATCAAGCTAGACAATGAGTTCTAACAACCAAAGAGTATCACAGTGGATCTGAAAAGGTCGCAGTGAATCAGGCCCTGACAATCTAATCTTAACTATATTAACGTTTCAGAGGCCAACAAAATCTGCCTTCATCTCCAGAAATTAACAAAATTCAAATCTATATGCAGTTCTTTTACTGACTATTTTTATTTCGCAACTTCTTCGTCAGATGTCGAAGGATTGTGGATTACATCAATGTTGTTGATTGATTCCTGAAACATTCGATGTACTACAAGGTGTTCTCTAATATCAGTCTCTTGCTATTTCGCCACTATCCATATTTTTCTTCAAGACGGGTAGGCAAGGACGTTTCCTTTCTAAGGAGCTCTTCGAAATACACTTCTCCCCAGAATATGCACTGATTCTTTTAGTTTACTCTCTTAGAGTGAGCTTCATTGGCATTCATTCGTCTTGTAATTCAATTCAATGCTCACCTTCTGGTTTCAAAATGTGTTCTGACAATTTTGATTCTGTTTATCGTTAATTTTTGTTGTTATTTCAATGCTCATCCCCACACACGTTGAATGATCTCGAAGTTTCACCAATATAACTTTTACCACAATTTTTCATTTTGAATAGTCGACTTTATTTCAGTCACATCTTGAACCAAGAACCTGAATCGATGATCTATCGTTTCGTCGTTTTCAAAAATATTCATCATTTCCTTTTTGTATTAAAAAAAAAATCGACTAACTACTTGATTAGGTTTCTAATTCTTCACGAATAAGAGCTGTTGGTAAATTCGCATAACGAACTACGGTCAGAAATCACAAATAAACAAAACTGGGTGAAAACTGATCACGAAAGCTTCATCTAATTTATCTTCACGACACGTTTCCTTAGTCGCACATGGTGGATGTATTCACCATAAAGATACACCAAAAAACACCAACACCATAATTTTCATAGCTGAATCCAAGCCGTTATGCCACACGTTAATATATCACTAATAACGAAATTAATATATATGTGAGATGCATACTTGACCGGAGCGGGTGTAATCCGAGGCAATAAATCTCATTACGCAGTTATAACAGGTCGGTCGTAAATATAAAATTTGAATAATAATTTTGGTTTGGCAATAAATTCGCGTGGGGCGCGTTTATGTTGCTTCCCTTTGGCACTTACGACCGAAATACAGGTCTCATGAATACAATGGGAAAGAAAAATACATTCGATATCGCCTATATAAATCGTTACATTGCTGATTCAGTGTGGTCTGAAGCAAGAGAAATATTCGTAATTACTTATTGGTGGCTGCTATTTTCATTTTTTGTTCATAGGGGAAGGCCAATAAACTTTCATAGTTTCTGAAAAAAAAAAGATAAAATAATATTATTCGTTAGTTCTATGAGAAAATGTTTCATTCATCAGAAAGTTAAACCGAAATTTTCCATTCCGAAGGAAAATCGAAGTTTCAGACTTACCCCCCCTTTCAAACCACGATCTGCAATGTATATGATTTTTGTAAAAAGTACATGATTGAAGAAAATAACCATTCAAATAGTATTACTCAATCTATTATCTTTTTTCTTTCCATAAACTACACCTCACGATTTGATCTCCACAAACTTTTTTTGAAAAATATATATACATAGTTGTCCTTCAGAACGAGAACAGGACAACTATGGAGCCGCCAACGTCATCAACATGAGTTCCCGCCCGCTCGCGGACATGGAGAGGAATCTTTGTTGAGGAAAGGTCTAAACTTCGTCATTGCACCAACATCTATGCCCACTTTGGAAAAAATAACTGCAGTAGAATCCACCAGTTCCCTTATTGATTAGATCGAGGCAGCAGAATTCAGATGGAAAATCAGAGAACAGCTAGATCGAGAACCAGTTCCAACTTCTAACATCAGCAATGAAGAACGAAGAGCCCTGAACGGGCTACGTAGAGACAACACCATCAAGATCTTACCTGCAGATAAGGGAAACGCTACTGACACAAAGAGGAACACTGGTTTAGGAGAAAATTCAAAGAAGCCGCGTATTCAACAACGCATTTAGTCAAGCTAGCGTAGAGATACGTAACATATGAAAACCTCTAATCAAGCGAAAAACGACCAACTCCCGCCAAATGGTCATCTCCCGCCAAAACCAATGAAGCGGAAAGAAGGAAAGCACTCGAATGACCTATAAATAGTCAGATCTCGGAGGAATAAGTCCAGTTATCACCCGAAACGTTGCGACATAACTTGGTTCGAAATCTTTCAATTGTATTTTTTCATTTTTGATTTTTCAATTTTTTCAGCTTTTATTGATATTACAATTTTCATTTGTTTGGTTGGTTCTTCTATGTTATTTCTTTGTAATTCCAGTTTTTTGTTTAATAAAATTGTTATTTTCGGTTAATCTTTTTGATTTTTTTCAGGGTTATCAAATCAATTTTTATTATATTAGACAATGGAAGTCCGAACTGATGAAATAAAAAAAAGTATATTATCTCTTTAACAGAATCTGAAAATAAAGTATTCATTTTGTAATTTTAAATTATCGAAATTATTCTTATTTTCGGAATTAACCGTCAAATCGATCTCAAAAACAAGCTGGCAATGTCGCTCGCACAGTCATAACAACGAGAATACAGGAAGAAGAAGAAAATTGAATTATGCTCTATGAAGAAGTTTTACGATGTTGCCAAGTTCATTTCAAATGTTAGTGACATCACGACCAACGTTTTCACCCGATATGAAAAGAGGCAAGAACTATTGAACATGTAATTTATACCTATGCGGTTTTCCCAATATTAATGTAAACGTTCCAGTATGTCTACGTCTAGTTACAAAATGTGTATGCTAGTGCTATATTAGTACACTTTTAAAAAAATTCAAATCCAATATAATCTATACATACACAGAAATTTGTAAACTCAGTATCGGGATATAGTATGGATCTCCCACCAAAGTCAAGACAGGGCACGACTAGTAGAATAGTAGTATTCATTTGAAAAGATGCTAATCCAATATGATCTATAAAAAAAACTTTGTCAACTCAGAATCCGGATACAAACATGAGTCTCCCCCGCAAATCAAGATTTTGTATCGTGTTGAGGACTGTGTGGCGTTAGAGTGGCTAAAAATGATACGTCGTTGACGATACACCACCCACGTTAAGGTAAAAGGTTGAAAAGTGCTGAGAACTGTGTTGCATTAGGATAGATGAAAATTAGAAACTAAAAACTTGAAAATAAAATAAGTAAAGTTTTTTCATGTTGAAATGTATTATTGAAAAAAGATAATAATGATTTAGATAATGTATTGAAAGCTAAAAATAATTCAGGAGGTCCTAGGTAGCAGTCATCACACCAGCCTCCTCAGCAATCTACAGCTTGGATCAGATGAAAAAATAATAAAATCATTTGGCGTAGTATTCATATATTTATTCAGGTTACACTACATCCAACGATTTTATTATTTCTTCATCTGATCAATACCGTAGATTGCTGAAGCGTGTGGTGTGATGACTGCTACCTAGGACTTTCCGAATTATGTTTAGCTTCTAGTACATTATCTACATCATTATTTTTTTCTCAATAAAACCATCCACATAAGATTCTTTTTACCTATTGCATTCCTAATGAGGACCAGAAATGATATTTTCGTGAAACTAATGATAGCATCTCGAATATATGAAACGGGGAATCAGTGTCATTGCTTTTCGAGTTTGAAAGCCGTGAATTTTTGGAATTTCTTCCTGACGTTTCGCTGGCGCGAGTGGCTAGCTTCTTCATAGGTTTAACCATCATGGCTTGCTGTCCGATGACTACCTTTCAGGCTTCGTAAAGCGTATTTATACCTTCTCAGGTAATCAGTTGTATTTGTACCTGTATGTGTACATGTATTTGTACCTGTATTTGTACCTGTATTTGTACCTGTACTTGTACCTGGACTTGCACCTGCACTTGCACCTGTACTCGTACCTGCACTTGAACCTGGAACATTAAACAATCTTGCTGCCTGTTGTCGTGTTCGTTATTCCAGAATTCCTTAAAATGGGGTTTCATATTCGATTGAGGTTCACCGCTTCTTCTTTTCTATTGAAATTATTCTTATGTTTGTGGATCCCTATTGCCTACCGTAACATTCTCGTTCTCGTTCATCATTGAAACTTCGTTCTTGAAATTCTTCGTCATGAACAACACTTGTAAAATGCTATTTCTCAAGCTGCGATTGATCGGTCGATCCTTCCAAGTGATGAAGAATTTCTTAGAGAGATCGATTCGGCTCTTGCTTCATGAAGCTCTTCCACTGAAAGGGAACCAGAACCACGAGGACTGCAACTCATATTTGGCATATAATATAATAACTATGGCAACAACGTCAAAGATGTGTCAGATGAATATGATAATGATGGAGCTAAAGTGTCTGAGAGAAATCGTAGATATATAAGTTTAACTTACATTCGATTATTCATTTATCAGTCCAAAGGGTAAGGGGGCCAGACTTCAACCTGATTGAAATCAAGACGACGTGCAGGATTATTTATTTGATGAATACATATTTCTGGAGAAAAATTTTCAAATATAATCCGAAGGTCGCGCCTTTTTCATTGATATCAAGTTGTTATTTTTTCAAATCATCTAAAAGAACACTTCGTTCAGGCCAGTTCTTTAGAAAATTTCACAGTGTTTTCAATATTTGTAAATTTCTTCTATAATAAAAATTTCCACCTAAATAGACTGTCTTGAATATCCTGAGTAACTATAATGATGTAAAACATTTCTACACTTTTAACCAATTTTCAATATGTTGTATGACCTTCATTCATTTGTTTGAATCTCTACAGAAGTTTCATAATGTTATGTGTCTGGCTCTGACTAAATCCATCTTCCAACTTGAAACTTTGCGAAGCAAGAACCGAAAGCTTTTCATAAATAACTTTGTAATTACAACTTATACAAGAAACACAACAGAACGTCAAGTGAAGGAGAATAATGTTCAATTACATAAGTTTTGTTACACGTGATTTTCATTAAGAAAATGAAAAATTTCAACTGTCATGCGATAATATATATTGATCATCCAATGGAATGATGGTTCTAGAACTAGAAAACAAAATGAACGGGTGAAAGTATTTCAGTTTCATTTGCACGTTTTATAGCTCATCTCACGTTGTCAGGTTCTGTTCTTCAAAGAGTGATCGTGGCTATAACAATAATCATATTATTAATTGAGAATTGTTTGAACAGGTTGTACAATCAATGGCTTTTGAAAAACTTGGCCCGTGCTCCATACAACTTTAGTTTCAGACGATAGGTAATGGTATCATGCAGCATGAAGTTCCAGTACAAGTTTTTGTAACAATGACCATTCCGAAACGGATATAATAAAAATGACAATTACGGCCATTACTCTTTTGAGATGTGAACGTGCTCTGAAGATAATTGAATATTTTCTGCTATCGAAAAAATGGATCAAAAAACACATGAACTGTTGACAGTGTCATACGGTGATTGTACTCTGAGTCAGAGAAATGTTTACAAGCTGTACAAGATTTTCACAGAAGTTTGAAAGGATGTGAATGACGACGCTCGCCTTGCCTCATCTACAACCGATGGAAATGTTGAGAAAGTGAAGAAAATTGTTATGGAGAATCGTTGAGTCACTATTATAGAATTTTTAGCATGAATCGTGTGGTAGCGAAGTTCATTCCAAAATTGCTGAATGTTGGTCAAAAAAAATGTCTCACGAGCACCACTCCGGAATTGTTGAATGACGTCAACGGTGATCCAGATTTGCCTGAAAAGGTCATAACTGATGACGGATCATGTGTATATAGTTATGATATCGAAAACAAAATCCAGTCGTCCCAATGGAAGAGCACAGGAGAGTCAAGACCGAAAAAATTGGTTACATATACTGATACTTATTTTCTACCAATTTTAATTCATGGGAAAACATTTTTTTTAGCTTTCTATTTTATGCGATAAGTTCGAAATAAACTCTTCACAAAGATGTTCTGATTGAGCATAGAAGTTACTTTCAGATACAAATTTGAAGAAAACGCTCTTTTGGGACTACTTTCACATGAACATACAATTATACGAGAACCACTTTTCCCATTCAGTTTCTGCTCCAAATATTCGTTATGGAATCGTATCAAATATCATTCACAGAAATGCTACACATTATAATATATGAAGAGTTTCCCTATAAAATTTCACTTACAATGAGCACTATTATTCTCAATAGCGGAATTTTGGAATAAGACAGTAGTCCTATCACCTCATCAGCACCGTTTTGGATAACATTTGATTCAATCCCAGCCTCAGGAATCTTTTTTGAATTGAAAATTGAAGGGTTGATAGATTAGTTTTTGGGAAAGAATGAATGCTTTCTACTTTTTTCATCTTCTTTCGAAAAATGTGTGAAACTTCCAAGGGATAGAATAAAACAATTAGCAGATGAACAATTCAGTTTGTCGCCAACGTTTCGGACTTCATAAAATACATCAGCAGGGCTCTATAATAAAATAATTTCATAAGGAAGCAGTATACATGCCAATACATATTGCAAATTATTATATTTTTCACGAACCTAATGAAGGTTGAACATCTGAAAAATTAGGGTTTGCAAAGTCAAAACTGTAGTTGTTTTCTCTTGTGTGTTCAACAAGGGCTGGTGGATTGGCAATATTCAACTTTTTTGTATCTCTTTCATGTTCAGACAACCGGTTTTTAAAGTAACGTCCCGTATGTCCTACATAACATTTTGGACAAACTTTGCAATTAATTTTATAAATGACGTTTTATTGCATATTGATCAGAGTTTTTGTTTGTTGTTTTGAAAAAATCTTTTTCCTACGCAATTTCGATGTGTTCATTATTTGAAACTGATCCAAGTTTTTCAGAAAGGTTATATGAACATAAGAAATTTAAAAATATTTTGAATTGTTTGTTTGCAATGGAGGTTGTCTACTTTCATTTAGAATTTTTTTCACTAATGAAGGAGGGTAATCATTTTCAAAAGGAAAATCTTGAATGATTCTGATAATTTTTTATGAAACTCAGTATCCAAAACTGTGAGTGGTCTTGATTTTAAGTTCCTACTAATAATAGTTTTGTTGAAACTGTGTTGTGAAATGTAATTGATGAACCTTTCTGAAAAATTAGTTCTGTATGGTACCAGTCGACTTTAAAAATCTGGTTTGGTGCTCTTGATATATTAGTGTCTAAGTAAGCTAGACAATCGCCCTATTCCAATTCTGCTGTAAATTTCAAATTCAGGTGAAAGCTTTGAAAAACTTCAAGAAGTTCAATTTTTTTATTCTTAGGTATTGAAGTGAAAATATCACAAATCTTGAATGATTCTGATAATTTTTTATGAAACTCAGTATCCAAAACTGTGAGTGGTCTTGATTTTAAGTTCCTACTAATAATAGTTTTGTTGAAACTGTGTTGTGTAATGTAATTGATGAACCTTTCTGAAAAATTAGTTCTGTGTGGTACCAGTCGACTTTAAAAATCTGGTTTGGTGCTCTTGATATCTAAGTGTCTAAGTTAGCTAGACAATCGCCCTATTTCAATTCTGCTGTAAATTTCAAATTCAGGTGAAAGCTTTGAAAAACTTCAAGAAGTTCAATTTTTTTATTCTTAGGTATTGAAGTGAAAATATCACCAACGTATCTTTTGAAAAACGAAACTGAAAAAGATAATGGTTCTAGATTCTACGTTCAATATTACCGGAGGTTAGTTCCAACACCAAAACGATATTTTTAACACCTCGACACGTGTTTCAATCATCAATTGATCATCTTCAAGAGGAAGACAAGAGGAAAATTTAACAGTTTGTTCCAAACAGTGGAGTTCGGACATCATCCGGTCTGCATATTCCGAGTCCGGATATTTTTGCTTATGAAAAACTCCGTCGTAGTTAAAATAGTTAGACTCAATGCAAAATTCAAATACTTTTATAAATTCATCTAGAGACAAACTAGTGAAATCTGAGATTTTGGGTCAATTTTTAATAATAATTTCAATTGTGAGATCCACAGGGATGTTGGTGGGAAGGAATTCTACGTCTAGAGATATCAAAAGAAAATCTCCATGTATGATCATCTTTTTCAAAACCAGTTTTTAAAAAACAGCATTTGAAATAATCATTTGGACCAACCTCGCAAAGTAAAACAATCAGTTTGAAAATAAACTCTTTACAAAGATGTGTACATCATGAATCAGAAGTGAAAACCGATCTCTCCTAAAATATATCTCCCTTTTAATTTGACTCCATAATTTCATTGTTTGTGCAGTTTTCTCAATGGGTACACGTAAGACTGAACCCAATCCTGCGGCGGTCAACTGAAGTGCATGTTTTTTTTGGCGTGCACGGTGTATTAAATCGGCAACAATCATCAATGCCTGAGCTTTATCCGGAGAGCAGAGAGCATGCCGCCATGAATAATTAATGGCCCTAATAGATTGAATACTCAAGAAGAATAACAACCATCTTTCTTTGCCATGGGCGCCTTTCAGGGTAATTTGCTAGGAAGGGCTATCAATAACGTTATTATTGCTGTAAAGGAGTTCCCTTCCAAGCTTCTTTTATTTGGGAAAGTATGGACTCGCTTAACTTTTGAATCTTTCACGGCGCACCAGCTATATTTTGAAAACACGAGATGTTTTGAAGTGTTTGTTTTTACCTTTCAGAATTAGAGAAAAAAATGAATCCAAGTAAGTAGAAAATTTGCGTAATTGTAACAAAGGACAAACTTAATATTTCTATAGCAAATATATCATTAGACCTTTTACATTTCTTGACACTCGACGAAAGTTAACTCAGAAAGTTTATTCTGGGCAATTTCATAATAGAAAAAAATGGGTTTTGAGAAATTCAAAGGATGACTTCTTGGAATTTAATCTTTTTTGAAAACAGGCTAACCATATAAATTTTCACTTTCATAAACTCATTTGGGAGATGAAATCGGAGAATGAATTATTGAAATTTACGGACTGAGTTCATCTTGGGTTAACTGGAGTTAAGATGGATTTTCTTCTAACCAGATGTCTGATGAACGATATTCCTCTGAGTCGAAACTCATTTGGGAGATGAAATCGGAGAATGAATTATTGAAATTTACGGACTGAGTTCATCTTGGGTTGATTGGAGTTAAGATGGATTTTCTTCTAACCAGATGTCTGATGAACGATATTCCTCTGAGTCGAAACTTCGTCCATTAACGATTACAGAGTTATTTCTTTTCAACTTGCTATTATTTGAACGGTACACAGACGAAACGTTCTCAAATTGTTGTTGTTTCGGCTTTTCAATCTCACAAAAAAAATCACCAAGAAATGAAACTCTTCACAAAAATATATAGATCATTCACGGTTGAACATAAACTAGAAGAAAAAAAATATTTGAAACAATCTTTTCCAATTCAGTTATTCAACTACTTACAGACATGATTTCCAATTTGTACACCTCTCTATGATCAAGATGTGATATAAACAGATATCATTTCGAAAAATCATCAACTGATTTGTTCAAAGTATCTACTGAGCAGTGGACAAAACGTTTTTCAGTCAGTTTTGTATTCTAGGTCGACTGTTGAGTCAAAACTGATCACAATATTTCAACTTTGAAAAAAAACATTCATATTCCTTGTTTTTAATACAGTCAATCATTTCAGATCATAACTTTGGATTTCATGAACATGTAACCGACAAACTTAAAATTGCTTATACATCCCTGAAACTCATATATCCTCATAGACAATATTTTGATGAAATGTCAAGAAAATGCTATGTTATTCATTAGTTTTATATCATTTCAACCACTGTGACTTTATTTATCATTCATGTTTAGACAACAACGACACGTGTCGCATATAAAAAGTTCAAAACTCTTGCATCAGGTTAATATTTGGAATCAGAAGTAGGTCTAGAATTTCACACAAATTAACAGATTTGAAGTGGTTGACTATGTTCAACAGACGATTTCATGCAACATGCATATTCTTTAAACCACGTGAAGGGTCCAGTGACAAGAACTAGTCCCTCCAAGAGGAAAGGAATATATACCTACTCAGAAATATACTTCATGTAAGTTCATTATCCATTTCCCAGAGACTATTATATTTCACAATGATTTTTTTATACAAAATATTGAACAATTTAGAACCATCTTATTTCGAACAGTACATTGTCTTTCATCATGATATTCACCACCACTTCACTCGAAATAAATAATTTTTTTCCATCGACCTTTTTTGGGTATTTGTTAACTTAACACCACAATAAGTGTATTTTTTTATTTTTGATGGGCAATGAATTTGATAATATTTTCATCATTATTATTATAATTCCAAATCAAACAACCGTCATAATCGATTGACAGCTCGTACACAAAGATCCAACGTTTCAATTAATGGTTGAATTGAATTCACAATTTCGAAATTAAACGATAAAGCATATCTATGCCCATTCAGCGAAATTACGATATCTTCAATTAATCGACCAGCATTCTATCAATTACGAAATCACCAACTGCACTTCATTCAGTCTCTAATCAAATAGGTGTTTATCGAACTACTAGTTTTAGTGCCACTCGATGGACCGTCACGTGATCACTTGGCCTATTTCCGATGCCTGTTGACGACCCGATATTAACGTGACGATGGACTTCACTGACTAGTTATTGAAGTTTATGTTGAAGGATTTTCGATCTCGACAACTCACTAATTCACATCAGCACAAATAACCAATATAATGAAGTCATAAGGGGGTAAAAGGGACGCGTTTACAAATGAAAACTACATTTTCAACACCATTTCTCCCTACCGCTATATTTTCGGAGTCTGAAATTCTGTATGTAGATGTGCAATAAAAAAGAATTTTCAAATATTTCAACCGGGGCTTCTTCACTGGGAATGAAACTGGTGCGCCAGCCACGGGGAAAAAGGCGCGTTCATAAAATAAAGTAACCTTTTTATCATTGTTGCTCCATGCCCTTAAATTTCCGGTATGTGAATTCAGCATTGCATCCGTGCGGAGCCGGGACGGTCGCTAGTGTGTTTGAACAATGCACATTCAATATTCTCACCACCCAATGTGAATCACCAAAGATATTCATTTCCTTACACTACCTAATACCCAACCAAATCATATAAATTTTAGATTGAGCTGAGTAGACTACGAGGACGATAGATTCCAAATAGATTGTGAACTTTTTCTGAGACTCAGCACGTTTTCAGAAACACCTGTCATAGACAGATCTCCTTTTTCATTTCATTTAATTTCGATTAATTCTTGCGAAGTTACCAGTTCAAATAGGTAAGGTTAGGTTAGGTCCAAAGTGAGTGGGTCTATTCGACCCTCCACCGCAACCCGCAAGGGTTTATTGTGGCTCAGACATAACAAATAAACCCAGCTTCTCGACGAAGCCGATTAGTTTGTATGGTGAGTGATTTTTTCAGATCAGATGGTAAGAGTACGGTTCTGCCGAACTCTAAATACCTGATTCGGTCCCCAGCGGGGCAGGCACAAAGTATATGCTCTGCTGTTTAATAATTTCCCAAATAGAGGCGACACACACTATCTTCCAATAGTCCGAGTCTCTGCATATGATGATTACCTGTAAGAAGGCCTGTTAGAAGTCGTAGTTCATCCCCACTGTAGTCCAACAACTGTTTGGCATCAAGCTTCGAAGGGTGAATAAACGCCTTGGAGTGGTCCAATCCTGCAAGAATATGCCAGAAGTCCATACATCTTCTTGCCATCCAGGTATTCAATCTTTGTTTGGCAAAGCCTAAAGCGATGACAATGACAGGTCCGATGAAGCTGCTTGCAGCACCCTCCTTTGCAAGGAAGTCAGCAGCCTTTTTGGCTTCCAGGCCAGTATGGCCCGGAATCCAGACCAGCGACAATATGTTGAGTCTTCCTATCGAGGACAGTCGTTTTTGGCAATTGGCTATCAATTTAGACGTTGCTTGGAAGGAGCCAAGAGCTTCTAATCCCGCTTCACTGTCCGAGAATATTTTATTGACTTGTGTATGAGGTTGGATTCCTCAAATCTCTCCGCTCACAATTCAGTCGCAAAGGTTTCTAGGCAGGTTGATATCTCGGTCCTGGGTCTGAGACTGAAAACACCCGCACCAGAACCGGAAGGTGTTTTTGATCCATCTCTGAAGCAACAACTATCTGCTGCCAGTGCAAATAAGGAACCATTTGTATTCGAAGGCGCATTTACTTGAATTTTTAAGTAATTTTCTATTGATCAAGTCACTGGCTATAGTATTCAAGAAATAGTTAATAATCGAGTTGGTACAATTACAATGAAAGGGGTCCTTGCATGAAGGGTTGCGTTTTGTTCATACAGTTCACTTCCGCTCTCTGGTCATTGACTGAACATTTTGTTTTTCTTTTGTCAAAACTTCCATGTAGAGCCCCCTTTCATTATTTCTGTCTTTCGCATTTAACTGTTGCGTGTTTCTATTATTTGGTAGCTTTCGTTGGATTCAAGCAGCCTTAGAGATAGATTCTGTTGTTAATATTTATAATTCAAAAATAATTCGTTCGACATAAATAATACCGTTAAATTACCCCTTCATAAAATCATAAATCGTGCTGGCATTCCACCGACAAATAATTTCTAACTCTTCTCTGAATATTCTTCGCTCTCAGTTATGTTTTGTGCTATTTGTTTCAATTTTGATTCGAGTTGCTCGAAAGATATAAGTTCGGGCTTTTGAGGTCGCTCCTCAATGTTATGAAATTAATTATTAATTGGTAACTCTTCTTATACTGATAATTAGATAGCTTCTTGGGCCTGGAGTTTTTTTGTGAAAATATTTTATTCATAAATCGAGCGGTTTTTTGACTTGATAGCGTATCAGCAGCTGTGAAATATTTGGAAATTATTTTCATTTGAAATTTCTTCAAGCACTTTTTATCTTGATTACCAAATCGAGATGAAAGTTCTGGATATTCGAAACTTTGTAAGATTTTAAGTGAAATGCTAGAAATCCTTTCAGTTATCATTGAGGCAGCGATATTACTTTCTGAATATCAATTGTTATTAGCTGCTTGACAACCAGAACCGTTGATTTGACAACATCTATAATTCTAGAATTAGAATGACTCGATCAGAAGTACGCACAAGAACTGTACCATTTTTATCTATAATCAAGAATTTTCACACTCCAAAAATCAAAAACCTAATGACACATTTCTCATTGAAAATTTTGAAACTGAAATGAAAATAAATCAAACATATATGAACTTGAAAAAAATCTGAGAATGACATTCAAAATTGATAAAATATTGCATTGGTGTAAAATTCAGCTTCTTTTATTCTCTTGGAAATTGCATTGATATAAAATTTTCTAAATTCAACTTCTTTTATTCTCTTGGAGAGGTAGCTTCATTCGATCAAAATCAATAGAACATATTTTTTATTGAACATTATACATTTTTAATTCCATTTCATTTGGTAATATCATCAAAATATCAGTATTGTCTCTATTTATCATATGATGAGTTGAAAAGTCTCATCAGTATATTTTATCGAATATGTGTCTCATTAGAAATTTGAGGTAATCTAATGAAGTTATGTTTCGAATTGTTTTTTTTAATGAAATGTTATATTCAGATCCCCCTAAAGGTACTTACAAAAACCTTTGCAGTTCACAATTTCGCCATAAATAATTTGAACAAAATCTTTTTACTGATTTTGGATGATTCAAAATTCAAAAGCTCATATTTCTGGATCAATAATGATTGTCAGAGTTGGAATTTTTCAATAAAAACAACTGACACAATATATATCAACAGCGATTGAATTTCAGAAATTCATTTGATAGTAAAAATTCTGGCAGTTCATCTTCAAATGGTTCACCAGTTGTTGAATATCGATCGATAAACTTCAATCAAAGATTGAAAACTGACAACCTATCTTCGAAACATTGAAAATGTTCATTTCTTACCGCAAATATTCCTGGCTGACTAACAAAAATAGTCTTCCAGTGATTGTTATGAGTTTGAACTGTCCGATTGAACGATTATTATTTTTTGCTCGCGAAGAGAGAATTTAAATAACATGAAATTCAAGGCTTCTTTCACTATAAATATTCTGAAATTGAATTGAAATTTTTCTCCCTACTTGATGATTTTCAAATGTTCCACCATCAGCAATGTAAGTATTTTTCATACTTCAGATTTCCAGCATCATTATAATTCGATCGAATTCTGGTGTAGCAATTGAACGTTAACTAACTCTTGAGTGCACTCGTTCCAGAGTTAGAGCTTCATTTCATGAACTTTGAATTATATTTGTGTAGCAGTTATATTCGTTGATTTGAATGTTATGTTTGTTGCTCTATTTCTAGTTCGATGTTCAGCCAACATGAAACTAGTTTATATATATCGTTGTCAGAGGAAATATCTTGAAAATGAGGATATAATAATAATAATGATACGTTATTGACGAGCCCNTTACCCAGCTGTAGTTACATACAAATATTTAAATAAATTAGAGAGCTAGTTGCTGACATAACAAAAGGCGAAGTTCAACTCGGTTAGCACAACTGCTACTGAGTTGTTCTTCCACTCAACCTCCAAAAGATTCTACCTAAGCTGAAACAAAAAGAAAGTAATACATAGAAAAAAATTGGGATTGTTTCAATATCTATTAGGATGCTGGAGAAGACGTCCATTACTAAGACTTATTCTGGTGTCATAATGATGAAAAGTGTATAGGGTTGGGCAGTTTATACTTAAAGTTGGCTTTCGAACAGAAGGAGTTTGAATCTTTTCCGTAAAACAGAAAGTTCTGAATTTCTTATATCTTTTGGTAACAGGTTGATCACTTGGCATATATTATAGCTAAAGGATCGCTTGAAAAATTCAGTTTTAAAACTAGGTGGGGTAAAAGTACCCTTAAATCTGATGTTCAGATTGTGAACATCAATACAAAAAGTGATTTTTCTTTACAGATAAGGCGGCGTTTTGGTATATATAATTTTGATATATAGATTAGCAGCATTCAATATTCGTCTATTTTCCATTGTGATCCACCCTGTATCCCGTAACGTAAATAAATAAATATAGTTTGAAACACTAACAAACACGTTTTTAAAGAACATCGAACTAAAAAGTAAAATTTTTTTTCAATAACGAACGGAAAATACTAGTATTATTTTATGCCTTTTAGGTCTTTGAAAACAATAAAGATTTTTTTTTACCGTAGTGTGCGCTGGTCAGGCCCTATTCCACGAAGCCCCGATACATTCGGGAGGGCGCGCCAGCATTATCAACCAATGACCACTCCCCACACCGTGGGGTAAGTGATCATTGGGTCCGAGAATCATGTGCCCCGAGCAAGCGCAGTGAGTCAAGAATGACAGCCTTCTGCATCTGTGCGGCTAAGATTTCTGCCTTAGTGCGGCAAGCCGGTATGATTTTGAAATTCGAGAGTGAAGAGGACATTATTCCACCAAGGACTCCAGTAATCAGAACAACCATTTTGACAGAGTGATCTGGATAGAGTCTGCGGAGTTCGAAGAAAAAATCTCGATATTTTATCAGTTTTCCTCCTCTTTTCTCACGATATTCGTCTCGCCAGGAGCTGAAAACTCCACGACAAATATCGTTTTGCTCTGGTGGTCGAGAAGGACCACATCAGGCTTATTAGCTTGTATGAGCCTGAGGGTGAAGATAATAATAAAAGCGTGTTGAAATAATTAAAAAAGTCCCGAGTTGCCATATAATAAAAATTTAGAATGAAACATCGGATGTTTCCTATTACATTCGTTTTGAGCAAATATGAGTACCAAGTATTCGCTACAATATTTCAAATACGATTTTCCGATTCACATTAAACGCGAAATATATTTTTCCCATTCCCCGAACAATAATGCAACCTGTTTTCAAAATTTTGTGTGTCTTTGAAGACACGCCCGAAGAAGCCATTGTATGGCGAAACACGTGTTGCGTTTTTGTAAAATTGTTTAGTGAAAATCTCGCAATGAATTTTTTTTTGAATACGTTAGTATCCTATACGTTTTTTCGTTTTTCATTTCACATAAAATAATAATAGATCGATGGATGTAGCTCCTGTACTACATTGTAGGAGATCATCATAATCATGAGACAGTTGCGGAGAACGGAAAAATGTCTGTAGGAAAGAAAGTGCAGATTTGTAGAAGTTAGAATGAAGGTCTTAGTATATACAGACGTTACTTCATCTGTATTATTCACTGGCAGCGGAAATACTTTCCATGTCATACTACTCCATTATTGTCTTTTACTGCAACCATAGTTAGCATAAAAGATACTGAAGATACTGTTCAGTGCATTTACTTTGACTCGAACTTATACCAATATTTCAATGGATGATAACGATATTTCTATCCATAATAGTGATATTTCAATTATCATCAATGATGTTAATAGTGATACCGTTGACACGATAATTAGATTGTCACGTTTTGTGTCTTAACCTCACATTGCAAATCGCATACCTAGAATGAAATATTTGTTATATCACAATTAGAAATAATATAGTCAATTTCTTGCTATCATTGCAAAAAATACATTGGTCAAACATCAAGATTATTTTGAAATCGTAGTGCATTACAAAAAAGTGATTGAATACTTGCTCCTATTAATAGATGTGCTTCGAGTGATCATATTAACTTAACCGGTCATATTGTGAATTTTAATGATACAGAAACTTCAAGTGAACAAAAATGCTATGAAGATATTGTTTCTCGGGTGATCATCTTCTTATAATTATTATCATAGGAAGTTTTAATTCTCAATTTTCATGAAATAATATTAGTTGTATAATATTAACTTCAAATTAAATTAATATGTGAGAACATGTTAGCAACTCAGAGACAAGATATTATATTTCATAGAAAATATGTTTTGTAATATTGTGATATTAATGTTATTTTATTGTTTCAGAATACGTAATGAGAAAAACGGTGGAGCTTGGTGTCCAAAAGCCCAGATTAGCAGTGAAATCAAAGAATATCTCGAAGTTGATCTCCAGAAAAACCACCTAATGACTTGGACTGAGACCCAAGGTCGTTTCGGTAATGGTCAAGGTCAAGAGTACGCTGAAGCATTCCTAGTCGAATACTGGAGAGCAACATTGAATCAATGGATTACTTACAAAGATTCCAGAGGAGAAAAGGTGAGAATTATTTTTTTTCATTGTCCAATAAATCCCGAGTTTCTCGGTAAATGGGATTCAAACGCTTTGGATGATTCACTGACATCCAACTAGCAGGTGACAAAAAGACATTTTTTAGCAATATTTAAAAACAATTTGATAAACGAATGACAGAAGGATGACCAATGGCGAGGATTTTGATGCATTATTCAACAAAATTTTTCAAATCCTTCGACTGGTTTAATTGATTGCATGAAAATTCATAAGAGCAACAAACAAAGTAGAGCTTTCTATATGAATACACTCATTCTGAATACTGTATCAGGAGAAATCATACGAATTTATCTTTAATTCAATTCAATTTATTTCCGTTTTGTACAAATCGTACGATTCCAATGCATTTTTTCTGAAGCTGAATAAAGTCAATATACATATAAAAGTACATTACAACTGAGAAAATTCACTTCAAGTATTTGGGCAAAATCAAATAAACTTATAACAATCTAATGAACGAGACAAGAATTTATTTCTTTTTCATTTTCCCAAACGAGTGAATTTTTGAAACTTATTATTTGAGTATCGATTTCATTTCTAACGTTTCTTCTACTGATTGCAGTTTATGCAAAGATGAGAATCAACATGAAATATTGTTATTTGAAATAGTTCATCACAGAATAATACATTCATTGACACTTTTCATCCTTTTTTCAAGTTAATAACTATAGTCTGTCCATCTAAGCAACAGCGTGCTTCAAAACAATGTCATGCATAGTGTACATGATCTCCCAGACGAAGCTGCTTGTACAGAGTCGTACTAAGGAACGACTGACATTTTATCCATTGTTCTTTTATAATAAGCGGCTGGGTATAGGAATTTTTTAGGTGGAGTGTAGCAGTTTCTTTAGCCGAATCAGTACTTGACATTTTAAACTTCAGCTTCAAAATACCGTATATGTAGAAACCACTGGTGTTGAAACGTAACCGACCACTCCAGTAACATAAATTCTGCCAGCCGATTGCAGTTAAACCTGATTGGCCAGCGTAAGGAGACTTGTTCATTTCACCCAACAGATGCAAATGTGCATCACGCATCTATCTTTCTTTGGGATACTTTGTTTGTTGGATGCATACAGTTTATTTTCGGTATCCTTATCATTATATTCTCCATCTTCAAACTTCACTGAAAAAATCCTTATGCTTCACCGTTCGAATATTCGGATCTCGGTAATACTCTCTACTGTAAAAATAAATATATCCAACTACAAACATGTCTTGAGTAACGAGAAGTTTTGAGAATTATTCTAAAAATAAAAATCATTTTGGTGATATGAACGTAGATGATATTTGTGAAATCGAACGAGAATGCAAATATTCTTTAGAATATTTCTATATTTTCATTCCCGAGAAAGTAATATTTTCTGAATCACTGCACTTCTAACTATGTATAAAGAAAGCGCTTCTATGCAGGGAGAAGTTCAGGAGAAATTCTTTGGATTGTATTCCGAGCAGATGTCCCGGTTTCGAGGATATGATAATCCCGCATTTGAGGGAAGCAAAACTTACTTATTCCAACAAAATCATATATTCCTCAAAATTTGAATTCCTGTATATGCTTTTTTCCCCAATTTTATTTTATGTCGCTGTTGCTTCTCCCAAATCTTCGTAGTCTTTATATTTTTGATATTCACTTATCAAAAGTACACTTGAGATATCTCCAGATTATTTTATTTCTCACAGTACCATAATATCCGCCTAACTATATTACTTTTTTCTCCTTAATTATTCGTCACCAAACAAACCTTATGAACGCAAGACGCAATATCATACAGGATTACCGAAACCTTTAGATGCTCATCTAATGAAATCATTGAAAAAAAGAATATGCGACTGTTACGAAAGCAATGAGATGCCTACAACCGAAATCATAAGGAGGAAATTGAATACTTCCGGCCATAACGTGAGCTGCTGTGACAAAATCTTCAGAATTAGATAAAGAAACTAGGATTGAGATTTAAAATAATAAACAAACGTCAAGCAGTTATGGAAAGCAGAAGAATAGTGAAATTGCATAACAAATACTTAGAACAAATAACTAAATATAGAAAAGAACAACGGCAAATTTTCTATTTGGGCGAAACTTGGTATGACACTCATGACACAGTTACGGAAGGATGGACTGATGGTTCGAGAATGTGTGTGCCTTACATGTTTGCAAAAAAAGGATCCTGACAAATCATTGTGCATTGCGGAGGGAGTGAAGGATGGGTTCCGAAATCTTTGAAATTATGTAGAAAAAACTTAAGGCCTGCAATGCCTCCAAGAACATGGAAGCTAATATTTTCGAGGAATTGTTTAAAAACACATGCTTCTTTCAATAAATTGATAGATATAGCCGTTACTACGTGGTAGGAAATCAAATATTGAATCCTTTCTAAGTATATCAAACTGATTTTTGAGGACTCTTCTTCAATGGAGAAATGTATTTTCCCCTAGTTTTCCTTTTTCAGTCGAAATATTCCTGCTAGAATGTTCAGCAACTTTCGCGTTTTCTTCTAATTTACCGGTGAACGTTGGTGGAAATCATGAATCCGTCACGAACACTCAACCCACGCAATAAATTCGTCAATAACATGAACATATCCGGAAGCCACAAAAGTAACGGGTCGAAAGTACTTGTGAATTCAATTAAAAGTTGCGAACTCACGGGCGTAAAATATAACTTGAGAGCAAATAGATTTATGACAGTTTATAAGAACGTATCAATGCCTGCTGACGACAAATTAGTTTTAAACTTTTTAATCAATTTGTCGCTGACGACGGTCCTTGGATTCTACTCGCTTAATCTCTCAAATATAATTATAAACTTTACTTCGAGCATTATTACACCGTATCGTGGTTTTTTGTATACTATAATTAGTTGGATATTGAAGTCAATTATGTGGAACATTGAGATGGTATCGATATTCCACAAAAATATTCACAGTACTGTGCAAATGGAAATCATTTATGGTTTCTAGAAAATAAGTATTTTGATATGGAGTCTCGGAATATTCATCTCTCCCAACTATCTACATCCTAGGTTATGGTAAATGCCTGCCGAAAAACAACTTCCCCGGTATTAGCCGAGGAAGTAGACGCAGTCTTCAGTCGACTTGAGCGACGTGTAAATTTAATTTTTACACAAAAAATCATATTAGCGCTCATCAGCGGGATCTGTATTTGACAGAATTATCGACATTATTGCTTGATCTATTCGCGGGCAGATGGCGCTGTACGTAATACGAAAATTACAATGGTCATTTTTCTAAACAATATACGGCTGATTGATCCCAAAGTTTAGATGAAATAAATATAGATTAAAAATACTAAAAACACGCTTTTACAGCATATGAAACTAAAAGATGAAAAATAAATATAGTTTAAAAAACTTAAAAACACGCTTTAGAAGAAAGTCGAACTGAAAAGTTATAAAGCGTGGGCGCTGTATGCCATAATTTTCGTATATCAAGCGCCCTTCGCTTTTTTCACAATAATACTAGTATTGTTCGTGCATTATTGTTTTAAACTATATTCATTCATTCACATTAAATATCGATTTTGGACTATGAAACAAATATGTTACAGGGACCAATCTGACGTTTTGTGTTCCTGTGTATAAAGATTTTTTTGTTGAATGAAATCTATCTACCAAAAAAGAACCTTAGTCTAGTAGTGTATTCGTATTTCTGCACAGCACCACTGATGAAATCTATGGGGGTCGAAACAGCTATATGTGGTATTGAATCGCTAATTCGTTGTTTTTGGTCTCTGGTTTCAAATATTTCAAAGAGTATCTCTGATTGATTTAGTTCATATTTACCTTGCATGAATATTGCAAGTCAACACTGGTTAGGTTAGGTTAGGTTAGGTCCAAAGTGAGTGGGTCTGTTCGACCCCCCACCGCAATCCACACGGGGTTTATTGTGGCTCACACACACTCCACACCACACTCCACACTCGGCCCAATGTACCCAGCTTCTTAACGAAGTCGATTAGTTTGTATGGTGAGTGGTCTTTCAGGTTAGATGGTAAGAATATGGCTCTGTCGAACTCTGAAAACCTGATTTGGTCCCCAACGGGGCAGGCACAAAGTATATGCTTTGCTGTTTCATCGTTGATGAGGTAGTCGGATAGTCAAGGTGCAATATCCCCACCTTGATACCCGCGACAACCTTCCCATGTGAGGGTGTTTGCACGTCAGCTACACTTGACGATGCCTTAGATTCAACCGTGCAGGGATTTTTCGCATCTAGTTTTGCTGAATCATCACTTGAGCGCAAACGTTTGCTAACCTGCTCATGGGAGGTTTGGTCCTCCACCTGGGACAGATTCTGTATAGGCGGTTTCATAAGGTACCCCGCTCATGAGGAGAAGACTCAGTCGTTTCCTGGTTGCACCATCAAACCTTTTTTTTAGGTTCAATTATTGGATCAGGAGTTGGAGAGTTGAGAAGCTCTCGCTCCTGATCTAAATTTACATGCAGGTCAGTTGGAGTCGTAAGCTCGACATCCATTTTCACTGTAGACTCAGCGTCAGAAAAGACTTTTAAGCTTACTCTGTTCATAAAAGTCCCACGAGTAGCTAGGGAAAGGAGGTCAATCACGACAGAGTCCCGCATTACCGTGACAAGGCGATGCTACGACGAGACGGTGCCCGGTATCTCGAAGGTTCCGTAGAAACAGGCTCAGTGTCATTCATCCTTTCGGCACGGATACACATACCTTAGGATCAAGCCATCGTTGGGATGCCATTCAGTTAGGAAATAACAGAACCGCAAGTGATTCTATCATTCCCGTATTCAGCGGGGCTACGTGGAAGCAAGCATCCGATGGCTGGTTTGCTCAACCTCCCCATCCCAAGAAAATGCACTCGCCAAAAGCAGCATGCACAGTTGGTCAGGCAGTGAAGGATGAACAAAGACAGCCAACCCGCCAAGTCAACACTGATTGAATAGAAGAATCTTGTCAAAATTACTTTCCGAA